GTGAAGTTTGTAAATAATATTCAGCCGACGCCGCTATCTGCAAATCTACGACGGTAATATAAAAGCCGTCCATTTTTCATTCGGAATTTTTAAGGAATTTCCGCAGAAAATTTTTTAATTATGCAGCGCCTATGGGGAATTTTTATTGCTTAGGTTTTCCTTGACTTTGTCGTCTAACCGATTCTTTCACGGTGCAGTTTAAAACGAAAGGTGCCGAAATTCCATTGGCTTTGGAAATTAAGACGATAATAAACTTTAAAATTTAGTTGCCTCATAAAATAGTACACTTTAGTCACGACAGTCTATAGAAATTTATAAAGGTTGCATTTTAAACTTTTTCTAGGACTAGTTTTTGACAAGACGATATTTACTCAGTGGCGTGTAACGAAACTGTCAGAACTGGAAAACGTCCAAGTACCGTCAGTGTTTTAGCTCTTCTGAAAACATTCCTGCAATATAATGCTACATTTGTTACTGTAAAATCAAGTTCCCTATTGCATGTCATGACATTTCTATTATTGATCTGACAATATACTTGTCACACAATTCTCAAATAATTCTGTTTTTTATTTCTTAAATACAGTTACAATTAAAAAGATACCACATATTATTACACGATAGATTCCTTTGAAGTAAAATGTCATGGAACACCAACAACTGGGGAAACTAACAATAAACGTTTTGATCTCATCTGGTTTTAGGTGTAATTAGTTGGTGTGCAGACCTTCTAGGCATTAGTCTGGGGAGTTCCCTTCCTGATTTTTACTACAATCACAATGCGGAACCTCCTCAAGAGATCCACGTGAGATGTAAAGAACAGTCACCTCCTCCACTAACACTTCCCAGAAGTGGGCGGCATTGAGAGAACGAAAAGATTCATTGAAGAATGCTGAGTGTACACAAATAGTTCAATTTTTTGAAGGTTACTACTATTGTTTGAGTTTTTGTTTTTAATTTCTTTTGTCATTTAAATAACTTAAACTAAAAAACTTTTCCATTAAAACGATGGTATCCTAGATTAAAATCGAGATCAAAGCTTTCTGCTATCGCTAAGATTTGTTGTCTCTACTTATTACCACTATTATTTATGTTTCGCACAGCTATTAGCGAAGTGTAACGGAAAGTATAGTGATTTAACTTTTGGGGGTAAATCTGGCTGGGACCATGTTTCAGATTAAATCGATCCCAAGCCTGAAAGCGGCCAAGTTCCGATAAAGAGCGTCTTCTCGTACAACCATTAATCTTAATTCGGCGCGTCAGTTTCCACAAATTTTTATTTTTTTGATACAAAATATCATGTCTTTGTAAAGTAGTTCACTGCGTGTGTATAGTCCTCAGCACCCGAATTCCGGCCTTTGTTTATGACGTACAAGATCGAAACACAAACTAGTCACGGCTAACGAGATTCATTTGTTCAAAATATAAAGTTAGCAGATTGTTATAACTTGAGTAATAACTACTATATCATCAATTTTGGCAGTTAATTTCCCGAGTTATGTGTACCGCTTTCAACAAAACGCGGAGCTCACTTCCATTAAGGTTGCCATTTTATATGGTGTAAATTGACGCAGAATCTCATTCGCACCAAGTCACATTTCTAAGTAGCCTAAAAAGTTTGGTTCTGAAGCCTTATATCTATATATTTTAAGAACTATTTTTTTTTCAATTTTCAACCAGGGCATTGCGAACCAGGCGCCCTGAAATTAACCTGGGAATCCATTTTAGAAAGTTTCATACTTAATAAATATTCGAAAATTTGTTTGGATTCAGGACTACATACCGAAAAATTTGTAGATTTTCTGAAGAAGAATAATTTCACCAAACTAACCAAAAAGCGAAGATAACTTACGTTGAATAGCCAAACGAAATTAAGCGTAAGGGTTTGGTTTCAAATGAAACTTCGTTAGTTTGATGGCAAAGCCTGCAGATTTTCTTATCAAACCTTAAGCGCGATTATTTATTTAAATTTCTTTTCCGCCTTTGGCAAGTCGAGCACGTTAAATAGTAAACCAGGCAACCGTTAACAACCTACCAAACAAAGTTTTAACTGATCGCACGAAATCAGCACGTACTCTACATGTGTGACACGGAATATTACTACTAAAATACGAGCGTTTCTAAGTAGATTTTCTTCTTATATATGATTCTTCGATCAAAATAAGTGGGTAATAATAATAATAATAACAATGATAATAGTAATAATAATAAGGGTATTGATATCTAAAACATAAGGTTTTTAAACAATTTGAGTTTTATCGAAATGCAATTTAATTAAAAAGAAAAAAACCAAAAGTTCAGATTTTCACGAAATTATATATTATGACATGACAATTGTTTTGGACAACACCGTGTCTATATCAAATGTAATATTTACGAACTACCTGCTACAATATATACCGAAAAATGAGCATAAAACCTTAATTAATGTTGTTGGGAGAATTTAAGTTCAATAAAGGAGAGGTATTTAAATATAATTAGCCGTTAAGCAATACATTTGAATTTCCATTGCTTCCAATAAATTTAATTTTCTACTTTTTGTGGCTGTATGTAAAATATCAAAATTTTCGTAAAAAATCTGTTTTTCTGTGTTTAAGTGTGTAGCATAATTAGAATCCAGACTATTGTTTTGAAACGCTTTTTTTATGTTCGTTAATGCGTTTCTTGAAGGATCTACCTGTTTGTCCAATATATTGACGACAATTTTGATATTTTACATACACCCACAAAAAGTAGAAAATTAAATTTATTGGAAGCCATGAGGAATAACAAAATGAGACATTCAAACGATCAATTAGATTTAAATACCTCTCCTTTATTGAACTTAAATTCTCCCAACATTAATTAAGGTTTTATGCTCATTTTTCGGTATATATAGTAGCAGGTAGTTTGTAAATAATACATTTGATAAAGACGCGGTGTTGTCGAAACAATTGTCATGTCATAATATATAATTTCGTGAAAATCTGAACTTTTAGTTCTTATTTATTTAGCTAAATGGATTTTCATCTAGTAAAAGCCACCTCAGTTCAATTTAATTTTAATTTCGCAAATAGATAAGAAATATTTAAATTATATAAGCGAACTTTACACTGGAGTGTAACAATAGATACCCCAATTATCCCATCATAATCATAATCGTATATTCCCGAATCATAACCCCGCAGAGTCAGCAATAGTTCCAAAAAAGGAATACGTAAGTTTAAATACATGATTTTTTTCATATTTATTGAGCTTTCGTAAATTTTCATCAGTTTCGATGTCGTTATAGCCTGGTATATAAATTAATTTCCAAGTTTTATTAATTTTTAAAAAATCTTATACATTATTATTGTTTTTACACCCGGTGGTTTTTAAACATGCCCCAAATTGTTACTCTTACTATTACACTTAACAATTGAATTTACACCAATGTCAAGTCTTGACAAAGTGTTATTATCCAATAAAAAGACATTGCAACAATACCGGACCAAACTGAATATCTGAATAAATTATGTGTCATTACTGACTACCACAGGTAACTAGATGCAATATAATATTTATTTAGAAAGAGCCAAAAACTAGACCATAATTCTGTGAAAACGCGAAAAGTTACCTATATAACGCCTTAAACCATGTAAAACTGTAAAAGATGCAAATCCTTTATAAATTGAGTTCTACAATTTGATCCATGATTACTGTAGATCTCGCTTTAAGTATTTAAGAAGTTGAAATTACACTTTGTTTCTTAATACGAGGGAGTTATAAATCATTATTGAACTGCAAAATTTAGTGGTTGATTATCAAGTGATAGTGGTGACTATTATGGGTGCAGAGACTGGTGGGCGGTTACTTTTCGGCAGTTGTTGTCAAAATTGAGAAACGAATTAGAAAAACTGCGTTTTCCAAAATGAGAAAATGATTATTCCAAATATGTTCAAAGCTGTATTCGCCAACAAAACTCAACATTCTGAATTACAAAAATAGTTCGGAACGTGTTCGAAAATGACTGGAGTTGGACAGTCAATAATATACCCACTTGTGCCCGAGGATAGGCGAGGCTCTATCAGGTTGCCAAAGAGAAGTACTGGAAGAAACTGTAATAAATCGGAGTTAAAACACTGTTATCAGAAGAATAATACACCCGTTTTATTAATTAATTACCATTCGACTACTAGGAACATGATGAAAATTTACAAATGGCGTATTTTAAATAATGATATTTATTATCATTTATCTATTTTCATACTATTCCTGCTTCAATATAAGTTTTATTTGCCTGATTTTAAAATAGCTAATATCTCTATAATCATAATAATAATAATAATAATAATAATAATAATAATAATAATAATAATAATAAGAATAATATAATTATTATCCAATGTATTTACAATCAAAATATTACGGTTTTCGTCAAGTAGGACAAAATTTGGTACACGATATAGATCCCGTAAATTAGGCAGGAAACTACATTACAAATTTATGTAATAAAAATATTTAACTGAGCACAACAATACAGTGATAACAAACATTAATAAGTAAAATATTCCTTCAAATTATAAAAACAGTTTTGCAGGAGAACACATTTTAGTTTGAATTTAATGTTTATTTTTTGTTTGATTTTTTAACTACTGGTGTTCGTAAAATAATGTTTTGAAAATTCTAGTCTATTTTTTTTAAAGAGAAACAGCTTTTGTTACGTGTATTACAGTCGTGAAAATTTCCGTTTTTTGGTGAGTTATTTTTGTTTGTGTACACCAATAAACAAACTTCTAATATGAAGTGGTTCTTGCACGAACTATCCCATTATTAATACTATATTTATTATTTTGGGTTTAGATATCCCAAACTTCATTATTTGTTTTGATCGTACAATCCAAAAATGCTATGATATAAATGAGGTTTAAAAAATGCAACTAAAAGTAAAACTTTTCAAAAGCCTTGTATATTATCGCGTCGGTCGAACCGCGAGCATTTTCCCTTTGTCCGCAGTACCGAATAAGAAGCGAAAAATTACTTGCCATCTCTCTCGTACATTTCGCGAGCCAGTACACCACCGCACAGTAATTGTCCCAATAGAACCGGCCACAACAAATCCACGTTCATTATCGGGCCGCCGAAACCCAAACCACTGGACCGGTGAATCAGTCAGTTCTCATCGAATCGCGAAATCATTTCTAAGAGAACGTTAATACAATACGATAGATAAAACAACAGCGGTTTCGGCGGGAAATGTCAGAAAAGCATTTCACGGACAACAGAAAAATTCCGGTCCTACTTTGTGCGGGTGATAAATTTTACGTAATCGTTCGCGTAGAGTTCAGAGCCTCCCTCGATCGACGCTAGACGGTTCGAATTGCGAGAGTTCACTGTGTGCCGTGCGACATCGCAGTTTGCCTGGCGTAGCGTGCGTTCGGAAGAGCGAAAACGCGGAGCAGGCGCCGTTTAGGTTTCCGCGTAGATGATTTTTTCTTGTTTCGGCCTTTTTCGACGGTTGTAGTTTTGATAAGAGTTTTGTTTATTGCCTTTATCGCTTGTTTTTTGGGCTGAATTACGCCACCGCCGCGATTGAATTTGAAAAGGAGAGTTGTTTGGCCGGAAAATGGGGATAAAGTGTGCCGGCACTATCTCGTGTGTGTGTGTGTGTGTGTGAATAGAGGTAAAGGTTTCGGTTTGGAAGCGACGCCTACGTAGATCGCGGACCGTATTTAATGTTTTTGCATTGGTCTGGACGTGGTTTTTCGGCTAAACTTAATTTCATTTCGGAGACGCCACTTCCCTGATTAAAATTTCCTTTGAAGAGTTTAGATTTCGGCGATTGATACATAGTGGCCCTAGTGGAGTAAAAATTGATACCCCTTGGGTAGCGACGGTATTTTTTTAGAGATAGGAATGATCTTCAAAATTTCACCCGCTGACCTGAACTTTGCCGCATTTACTTTCCAAATCTCTACAAACACTTACTATAAAAAACTGCTCTTAAAATTCTTGAACTGAGGTGGCTTTTACTTGATGAAAATCCATTTATCAAAATAAATAAGAACTATCTGTGTCTTACAAATTTCTAAAAATTCTACCTCTTAACTGAAACATGTCGAACCGATTAACTATCAGCGGCCATATTGTTTGTTGAACGCTGGTAAAAACGAGATTTCAAAGCACAAACAAACAAAACTTCCTGTATTATCAAGCCAAGTCTGATCCCAAGTACTTGTACGATTCCACTCTTTTGATGTTCCTGTTGCTTACCACTAAGTGGATATTTATGCGTGGTTAGTTAGTAGCGACCATAAATTTACTTTTTACAAAACTTTCTGGATTCCTCCTGCGTCGGTTTTTGCTGAGTCGAACTTGCTGACGTTTTGCCAATCATCCTGTTGACCTCTTCAGAGCTTGAGTGAAACTGGCTCGTATTTTACTCTGTACCTGCTTATATATTGTTTGAGGAGGGCGGAGCTAAAGGACGGGCATAAACACCGTCTCGGATGACTGATTCCCATATTGGTGACACGTTTCTATAGATTCTCGGATTTTTTTTGGTAGAAGCACTGATTACATGCAAGAATTTTAGTTTTATCGAATAAAATTTTATGTCCGGTTTCATAACAACAGCTCATGAGTTTATTTGTCTTAGTCGTAAGCCTCTTTCGTGTTCTTTGAGTCGAGTTGACGAAAAATATCAACCAGACTCAAAAAACATGAAAGAGCCATACGACTAAGGCAAATGAAGCAGGTACAGAGTAAAATACGAGCCAGTTTCAATCAAGGTCTAAAGAAGCCAGCAGGATGATTGGCGAAACGTCAGCAAGTTCGACTCAGCAAAAACCGACGCAGGAGGAACCCAGAAGTTTTTTAAAAGTATTACGGTGGCCTGTGGAAGTTTCTTTGAAAAATTGACCATAAATTTAGTTTTGTTATCTCTTTATTATCTTTAGACCGTTATCATTGCAGCATGTATTTATTTGGTTTTGCAAGTAGACGATGTTATCTGTCTTAATAATTTTATCATCAGCATCATCTAATAAGCTGTTATTACTAAAATTAGTTCACAATATCATCGCCACAAAATCTAACCCGGCGCGCTGAGTGGCAGAGGCAGAGGCGGAATTATTGGAGACGGACGTTGGAGTGGCCCTTCGTATCCTGGTTACGCGCATACTTTTCCAGAAGTCGACGGAATATACGAAAAACAAATGGGTTGTCACCGCGTTAACATAAACAGTTTCTATTTTAATTCCCTCAATACATCGCTTGGACTATACACTTGCGCTCACATTAAACGCGAAAGTGGCTTTACCTCGTGCATAAATTATTTTAATCCGTTAATGTAGTGCCGGTGACAAAATTCAGGCCGGCTGAAAGTCGTCGCGACGCCTGCCGCCCGGAATCTAAAATATTATCTTCTCGCAGCGCCGTAAACGCTTTATGCATTCGTTGGTATTGTTCCAAAAGTAAGAGTAAGTTTGTTTGCCGAAATAAACACGGCGTAAATCCACTCGGTTACAACGTCCTCATTTTACGACCGCTCTACGTCTCTTTGAGGCTGGAAACTTTGGAAATTATGTTTTATTAGTCGGATATTGTGGCTGGTTGTCGCGTGAACCGCTACGGACGTGCATCGGATGTTGATTGCTTTTTGATTATCTACGCAGTAATGATTAGAAGGTCTAAAAAAGGCGAAAATTGTTGATATTTTGTAATAAAATTGGCTATTGTTCAGCTGCCAGCTTGTACGTATATATTCCAAAGACAATTCTGCGTGAAGGAATATTTATTGCTCGTTAGTGCTTGTTTGTACTTCTATATAATGACAGGAGCTCCTCTTTACAATCCAGAATATAGATGCAATTGAATTTACACTAGTAGCAATCAAGATAATTGAGTTTACGTTATTCATTGCATAATGACGCAATCGTGTTTTATTACAACTCCTGTTACATTACCTTTTCTGTGAATTTATAAATTTTTCATAATCTTTATGGTACCTTAGAATAAACAATTTTTCAAATAACATCATCAAATAACTTATGAATTCGTAATCTGTGTGGAATTATCAAAAATTTCTTCAGCTTTAAGTTTTTTGTCCAAAAATCTTTCAACATCTTCGATCCGTCAAAGAACTTGAGATGCCATGAGTCATGCATTGCATGCTTACATTGAAGAGACCGGACGAAAAATATCAACCGGGCTCAAAGAACATGAAAGAGCCTTAAGACTAAGACGGTGTTTATGCCCCTCATTTAGCTCCGCCTCCCTCAAACAATACAGAACCAGTTTCAGTCAAGCTCTGAATAAGCTAACAGGATGATTGGCGAAACGTTAGCAAGTTCGACTCAGCAAAAACCGACGCAGGAGGAATCTAGAAGTTTTATAAAAAGTATTACAGTAGCCTGCGGGAAGTTTCTTTGAAAAATTGTTAAAATCTCGTTCTACTCTGGTTGTGTCATCTGCTTTATTAAAAATATTCAATAGCTCCTATATACTCTCTAAACTGAGTGTTCAACCTTGGTAACTTTGTTATGTGTAGAGATACATATACATAGTCGCTTAAGTTAGCAAACTACTAACATTTTTTACACTGATTAAGATGTCTGTTAGAAACCTAATTACATACCTATCTAGCGTGCGAGAAGCGTCACTTTACCACGTCAGTATCGTTTCCGACGGATCCGAGCTACTTCGGACATTTCCGGGATTTTACCGGATTCGGGAGCAATCGGATGTTTTAGGAAATATTTCCCACGCTTTGAAATTTGACGTTTGTCAATTCTGACGGTCATGTCAGTGTAAGTATTCTTGTTGTTTTTCAAAAATATACCCAAAAACTAACGGTCGTACAAAAAATATAGTATGCAACACGTTCGGTAAACTTTTCAGCCTGTGGAAACTTGCCATTTACCGCACTTGTTGCATAATATACTAATCATGCAACAAGTTCGGTAATAGTATATTATGCAACAAGTGCGGTAAACGTCATTTGACTTAGGAGTTTATTTGACACGAGCGGAGCTACTTTTTAATGAACGAGGGAGTTAAAAAGTTTACCGAACGTGTTGCATACTATACTTTTTCCACGGTTCGGATCCGTGGGTAACGAAACTGATGTGGTAAAGTGACGCTTCCCGTACGCTGGATCGGTAGGTAATTAGGTATTTTTGCAGACAGGAGTAGAAAAATATATAAATGTAGGGTTTAGGAAAAATGACTAAAATGCACACAATAATTGTATCAATTTCCACGTCTTCATTTCTTATAAAAAAATATATATTTTTAAATATTCGATAAAGGCGCAGAAAAAATTTTTGAAAGAAGGTTCTGCAAAATAATGACAGCCCTGCCCAATAGAAAACTAGTTGTCAAAAAATTAGTTTCAATATGTTAATTATTAGTTCTGTGATATAACTTGTTATCAATTATTTAAATTAATTTTACTGTATCGCTTATTCAAAAATGATTTTTACACTAAAGAACGATACTTATACCTATATCCGTAGCACGTTCGTTGAACAATTTTTCCGCGTTTTTATTGAATCTTTGGAAATAATGAAATCGTTTTTGCAAAAAGAATCACTGGAAAAAGTGCAACTAATTTGCTAATTTAATAGACTTTGTATCTCTACTTATAACAAACTTGCCAATAATGAACAGTTAATTTAGATCAGCCGGTATAAATTGGTCCCAATACTGTTCCCTGTGGAATACCACAAGTGACGCTTCCCATTTAGCTTTTAACTAGTTCAATATTCAGTTGCTTCCTATTTTTCATATATTCTCTGGAAAGGCGCTACCTATGATTCCGTGTTTTTCAATTTTTTTTTGGAGCATATTCAGAAGGTTTTAAGTTGCACCAGTGATGGTGCAACTTAAAACAGCAGCTATGATGAATTTCGTTTCTAAATTTTAGTCTCATTACTACCAGGTTGCTACTTTGTGCTTTCCGATTATTTCATCAATAATAATAAAGCAGATTCTAAAAAAAAACACAATGCTCTTGCTAAAAGAAGCCAGTATTTTTTTATTCTTGATCGCACCACGTTTCAACGTATCCAAATTTTTTCCAAGATGGTACATGAGACTTTTATCGAAGTTTTACTATTTTCCGATAAATTTTTATTTTCCATTGACGTCATTAATTTCGAACCCTACCGCTGTGTCACACGTATTTACATAATTTAATTTTTAACGCAAATATTCGACCAACGCGAAAGAGCCTCGCAATATTTTCAGTAATGGAAAACACGAGAAATTCACGAAAAAGTTCGAGATGAGACGATACTTTAATTTTAACACTTTTCCATCTGCCGCCATAAAATATTCAGCAATTCCGTCCCAAAACTTTTTCTCGGCGACGATTTTAAAGCGAG